GATACGTACTACTTTTGACGTTCATTACGTAGAAAATTACACGTTGGTCTACGTGTGTGTCTGCTAAGCAGTTTTGTGTGTTTTCACAAGTTTGCGCAGTTTGTTCATTAAACTGCGCGAAAACAGCGTGACGCGGAAGTGAACTGTTCCAAAGCATATCAATCATTGTCACATGAGAACAATCTGCCACGACTGCTCAATTTGAACTGTATCTAAACTTGACGGGTTAGAACATTCTGGATGTGATAAGCTGTTTCATGGAATATTTTTAGATAAATATTCTAGAGGAATTAAGAAAGTAGAAAAAAATCCAGGGAAAGTAAGAGCACATGAGATTAGTGAAAATATTTGAGTCTTTTGAGTTATTAAGGAAAAACACCATGAAGCATTGGGGCAGCCTCATACTCAAAGTAAATTTGAGTTCCTTCAACGGTCCTATATTATCTACAGAAACAGTAGCATAAGGCCGCGAAAAGAAATTGGTACCACGTGCGCGTTTTACGCACTGCTGACATGTACCTACAATTAGCTACCAATCTGGCATCAGGTGACATTAAGCGCACCAAGAGCGTACGTATGGTATCGTCTTGTCGAGTATAATATTGAGTCCGCATTCACGACATGCACATTTGCGGGAACAAAAAGTTAACATTTGCATGGTCCGCAGGGATGACATCAATTATGGTGCCGCACGCAACTGAAATGGCGAAAGTTTTTGTAATTAATTTCCAAATCTTGACCCCGCTTTGTATGGTTCAGTAAATGTGAAATTGCTTGTAAGAATACATTTTTGACGAGTGGGAGACGCATCACAGGAATTGCAGGAATTCCTCCAATAAAAGCTTAGGGTGACCGAAAAGCATAGGACGCGGCTTTGCCCGCTTGGTGGCACTGAGCCGTGGAGAACTTTGAGACTGTTTCGAAACTCTTCGAAAGCATTGAAACTATGTTAGGAGCACCAGCAGTTGTTTGGTCCAAAGTTCATCTGAACTCTCGCCATGACAATTTTTTTGCATTGACCAAGAGGCTGCCCAATGACGGTCATTGAAATTGCAACTTCGGAACGGGGCTCGGGGTTCCCTTTTTAACTCTTTAAAACATGTTCGGTGCTCTCAAGGTTTGAGCACGCGTTCCGGGGATTGCGAAAAGTGGAGGTTCAGAAACTGTGCACACTCACAGGATTAGGGCAATAATCTAGAAGAGGATGGCTCACAACGGTGAAGCCAGCGTGAGTCACGTCGCTTTTGATCTCAGTATCTGCCGTCACTCCTTCCAGAAAACCTTGGAAAGCAATCATTATATGAAGAGTTCTATGCTGGTTTTTATTGGAGCAACCCGGATAGATTCAGCTGATGAAATGCAAAAAGTTTCTGCACGAACTCGAGATGCGCCGAGTCTCATAGGGATTGGGTTGATGGGACGTTCAAACTAAACTCCTTTGTGAGCGCCAAAGTCAGAGGCAGTTGTTGCGAAAAAGTGAGGGCAAGTCTCCGAGATAACGTCTAGTTTACAACGAACTTTCTCCCGAAGGTGTGGTAGTTTGTAAGGGGGTAACATCCAACATCCGCTCCGATGATTCATCTTCCACATCTGTTAAAATTAACTCGAAGGTCTCGCAAAACACTTTATGAGCATCTTGCTCAATTATCGTTTACCCTTCAATGAAACTGGGCTTCCTAATACGCGTTCAAATCGACGAAAGCCATCCTGGGCGCTCACGTCCCGAGTTAGTGGAGCAAGGAATTGCGACCTTCTTCCTCTCAGGCCCTTCATCCGATGGACTCCTCTATGTAAAGTGTTGCAAGACCACGTAAGACTTCTCCAGCTCGATGGGTGCTCTAAAGTTAGCGCTTCAGAAGTGGGACGACATCGCAGTTGGCTATTTGCGGGGCACTGTTGATTGTCGTTGGACGTCAGAAGGACTCTATCAAAGAAGAGTCGTCAAATTCCAAGCACCTTCTGTGCAAGTGATCAAATACCTTGACTTTACCGCTGCGTGAGGTCGGTTTCCTGATCGAGTCTCGTTCTTGGCTTTTACACACAAGAACAGGCGTCCTATACTTTTCGGCCACTCTGTATTTGTATTATAAATATGCTGACGGCAAGTCGCGATAGCGACTATTTATTCGCGCAGCACACATTGTTAAAAATACACAGGTTCTTCCAACCCTTTCCTCACCTTTCCAGCTGATCGATTCCAACCCTAGCGCCATCTCTCTTCTCCTAAAAAATAACGACAAAAGTTGTGGAAGTGTCTAAAATTAGGATTCTCACCATTGGACAACTCAGTTAATGTGAGTCACGGTATGTACTCAGAAAATCGCGGAGGCGTCTGAGTGCATCTAAACCCCATTCGATGATTCTCAGAATATTAAAAACATTGTTATACCCCTCCTAGATGGGTCTGCTACCTATTCCTCTTTACGAATGCCTACGTGGATTCCTCATTAAAGGTAATCTTGATTCGAAACGGGGTACAACTTAATAATTCTGATTAGTATATATTTTCTGACTTATTTCACTTGCTTGATTGGTGAAGTTACAGGTAATTCTGAGGCAAGCATCTAGAGAGGCGTGCTGGACGAGCTTACTGAGCCTAGATGCACTTGCTCCAGTGCCAGCGACATTGAACCGTAATGCCGCAACTGCGCCCGCCCTTCTCTTCTAAAACAGCGTCACGTAGCAAACGACAGCGGAGGGAAGGGCTTGTCACGGCCCTTTCAATTTCCCTTCAACAAACGCGGTTGATCAATATATTCATTTTGCAAGTGGTTACAAGAGATCAAATAGGAAGGTGTGGACCATTTCCAAGTAAAAAAAAAGCCAACCCTGAGTGGAGTAAACCACCGACACTCCACGTATCAAGGGAATGTAACCTCATTTCTACATCTTTCAGTTGATCTTTTATGTGACGTGGTCTTTGAAACATTCTAATCGGTACTCATGAAAACGAGTCCTTCAAGAGGCTCTGAAAAAAAACTGTATTCTTTTTCAGAAGAATCAACAAGCAAAAGAGCACGCTAGTTTTTCGGGCAGGCGATGTCTTCTTGTGAAACATATTACAAAACTGCGAAGACTCTCGACTGGCTTTTCATGGCAATAAATGTAAAGTTGTCCCCAAATTCTGCATCAACCTGATATCAACGATTAAAGTATGTTGAAATATATTGGACACAACAATCAAAACAGTAGTAATATGAAGGTTCTGCCCAGAATTTTTGCAACGATACCGGGTGTCTTCAAATATTGGGTTGGACCATAATATCGTAGCGCTTGCATTTTTCATTTCTGCACGCAAACGTTTAAAGCAAAAAATAAAAACATAAAATCACTCAGCGACCTTCACTTAGTCATTATTTACAACTCCGATTGCATTTCGCAAGAGATCACCGGATACAGAATTTAAAAAATATATAGAGCTAGTTTTCGGAGTCCTTACTATTCTCAATTTGTGATTTGAGATTGAAATGGTTTTGATTTGAGCGAAAAAAAGGCAGATGCGGGTAAAGCGAGGTTCGATTAGAGCAATGAATTTTTTCGAAACTTCCAATTTGGCATTTTTTTCTTTATTTAGATCTTAGAAAGCAGCTGTCGAAACACAGATTTTCGCCGTCCGAATTTTCCGACTTCCAAGCTCTATACCTGAGTTCAGCTCCAATTTTGAAGAACATGACATCTGAGATTTTGTAGAGCGGGAAAAGTAATTTCAAATAATATGGGCCGCTTTTTCTTTTTTTACTTGTACTGAATTAATTTGTGCTCTCGACAAAACGCTGCGATATTATGCTCCAACCCAGTACATAGCATATCACATATGCGCGTAGCCTTAACGCATGTAACTGGTATACTAAAAACTAACATTTCTTGCTCGTCTTACTTCCGCCCGAAATATGGAACCCCACTTAGATTCAAAGCCAACGACGCAATGGAGTTCAGATCTAGCTGGTTAATAGATTAAAGGAATCCTGCGCGGAAAAATCATGATTCTATTTCAGCCATAAATCACTGACTTGAGACTCATTATCCACATTAGTAGTGGAAAGAACCGAAGTATTGCTTTCGTTTTTGATAAGAAATTCGAGAATTTGAAAAGGCTGCTACGCGTTCGAATTGCCCACGGACGTCTTTCACGAATGCTGGCGATGGGGATGCTCAAACTTGGTTCTTGGAGTGCATTCACTAGAAGCTCTTTCTGGCCTACTGCTTCGTTGCATTCACATCCTACACTTCTACTCCATCCTATTCCATCGATCGATTTGTCTCCACTCTCCGAAATCGCGCGCTTTAAGCCGATTCTCTCATTGCGTCGCCTGGTACGTAGCCGACCAAACGCCGTCTTCTTTCCATGCCTCGCCTGGCTCTGCCTCCTGGTCCTTCGATGGTCCATAACGTGTAGTTTTTGTACGTTTGTTTCTCTTCAGAAACCGAATTTTCATGCGTGAAACTTCGTGTGCTATTTCCAGTGATCACAACTGACGTATTCCAGTTAGGAAAGAGTGCAAGAATTTTCCGCGCAAGATTCCTTTATGATTCTTAACATGTTTTACTGCAAAAACTGTTCGCATAGTCGGCTATTTAAGAAATCATTTCTTCATCTCCTTATTGCCCGTAGGAGTTTTGTGGAATTGTCTTATGTCTTACACGCATCATAACAATACATTGAAAATTTTGCATCATACATACATAATAATATTAAAAAACTCGAAAGATTTGTTTTTTGCTGCCGCGTTTCGATCATTATTTTTTGTTATTATGCTTTGGATTATTATTTTTTCTGTACTGTTACTTTCTTATTATGAGTATTTGATTATTATCTATTTTTGCTGCTGTTGGACGTAATCATAACTTTCTTCATAAAAGCAAAAGGTGCGGCTTCGATTAAACCTAGGGCTGAGTGTTTTGCCCATGACCCATCATTCATACGATATTTAGTACTTTATTTCCATTTTATACTGTTTCGAACCTAAAAGTTCTTCCAGGGAGCTGAGTCGTACCCCGACATGGTGTTCTCCGCAAACGCTGCAGTGGTGAAAGAAAATAAAGCCTATCTAGCCAATTTCGCACATCCAGAGCGGAAAGGAGAAAGGTACTCTTAAAAAGACTAGGCTTATATGATGTAACTAGTTCAACTATCCAGTGGTGGAAAACTGTTGAGTAAAAATTTAGCTAGAAGGAGTGCTGTAAGTGGTAAATGGAATGGATTTAAATCATGATGGGCCTTTAGATAAAGAATAGTTTAGAGCGAGAATGATGTCATTACAGCGTCTTCAATAGTGACAGTAAGTATTTATCAGAACATTTTGAGAAATGTGAAATACCGGATTAACGAGTCAAAGCGGTCGAGCGTCAAGCAAATCAAATTCAAAGTAAAAACAAGAAGAAAAGATGTGTATCTTGTAGTAACTGAGTGCAGCCCTACGCGCTAACGGTGGTCTTGAGACCTTTGAAAACGATGTGAAGGTCGAAACGTCGGCCGAAATAAAGTTCCCTCTACAAACCTTGTGGTAAAGCACACTAGGAAATGTTTAGATATTTCTTCGAGCAATGGTTCACCAAGAATGGTTACGAATGTGTAGGAGACCGAGATATCACGTTTGAAGGTAGGTGACATCTTCGTCCGCCAGTGCAATTTAGTAAATACGCATTTATTATTTGAAATAATGCTGTGCACTATAGAACAACAGATAAAAATGCTTATTGTGAAAGAGTAGCTGGAGGGAATTTTAGAAAATTGCAGTTATTTTTCGGGCAGACACGGGAGTCCTGCACAGAGAATGAAAGCCACTAAATTGTGCGTTAGTACAGATCCAAATTCGGTTCAGTGAATCCAATAGAAGTAGTAATGGTATGGAACTCGTTAGGAATTAGTGTGCCGCAATGAGAAATGTGGAGGTAAGGCACGTCAAACAAGCGCATCTCGATTGTGGGATATTGTCTGTTCGGTAAATAAAAAGGCGATAGCGGGATCATCGCTATTCATCCCAGTGAGCATTTTCTCATGGTTGCTGCGCGTGGCACGTGGCTCTTGAGAGAGTTTGCCAAATATCAGCGATCAGTCGCATTTCGTTTAAATTCAGTCCATGTATTAAGCAAAAAAAGGATTTAAACATGTTTGTCATTGTGGTTAGGTGTACTGGAATAAGCATGGATATTGGGAGTTTTTTATCATGTGCCTAACCAATTTTTTTTTGGAACAAAGCATAGTCCTACAGCTGTTGGTGTGATGGCTGGCAATGAATTTCTGGGCCCGATTTCGAAATAGAAGTATCCCATCCGAGCTTGATATTGGAATTACTGATTGAGGGATTATGTAAATATTTAACAACATCCCTGGGTAGAAAAGGTGAACCTCAGAGACCAAACTATTCTCACATAAAGCCCGCTAGTGCTGTGCTGTGGGATCATTGCATGAAGCGTTGAATTGAAAGAGCATATCGAAAGTCTGCCGCGAGATTTATACTGCGAGAAAATACGAATTATTCAGGAGCTGGTGACGCTTTATGGGGTGGAGCTGGTTATCGCACTTTGTTCACTGGCGTTGGACCGAGAACTGATGTACGTGCCCTGAAGGATATCACTGAGAAGCTCACCGACGGTTCATCATGGAAGGCCCTTGGATGTCGATTAGTAGACCCACGGTGGGGATCATTACTGCATCCTTAATATTACAGTAACCAAGTAATTTCTGAAAACACTACTGCACTGAGCGAGAGCAAATTCTGGGTTTACAGAAGGAATTCACGATTAGTGTGAAGGTCGAAGAAGGAATAATACACCCTCAGAGATCGGCAGACCTCCTCAGGGTGCGGACTGAGGCAGAGTTAGCAAGAAAGATTTAACCTCGACGGCCTAGCAAGGCTCATTCTTGGCACGGTGGGCGGGGTGCGCCCACCGCGGCGAGTGATTAGATGGTCGGTGGGTCAGACAGCAGAGAGAGCGTATTGTTGAAGAGGGCACAGCTATGAGAGTCGCACCAGTGCGCCATCACTGGACAAGGGAGGGGCCCCATTCTAAGGTTCTGGTCCGTTTCTCATGTTTTTCCTTCTTTCGTGTACCACTCACAATCCCTAGGTTAATTTGTAATGGGTTGCTTTTCCATCGTGAATTCGCCTTTCACAATATTGATGCTTTTTTGTTTTTGAGCGTGTTTTGAGAACTTTGAATTAGTAAATTTCACATACGTTTGAATATATAACATGTGACTATTGCAGGTTTTACCATATCGACACTGCTTTTTGCCCACTGAATGAGGAACTGGCCATGTATTACCCATATGCCTTCGACCATATCAGTCAGCACAACATGCACAATGAAACTGATCTCTTACCAGTAAGTTTGCGATCTTTTTCCAAGTAAAGAATACTCAAATAAGGCGGAATAACATGATTCCTAAGTTTTACTCACTAAGCAAGCTGGCCAACTCCAAAGAATATGAAGTGGTCAAGTTCAAGACACTTTAGAAGTTATACGAGCACGGTGCTAACACAGCCGTTCAGCGGCGTCTTTTTTCCCAAAAGTAAATGTTGTCAGACTGACACGACTATTGGTTTCGTACGACCATGGTCATTACAATAAGGAGGATTCCACGATAAGGTCGGAGGCCGACGGAGGGGGAATTCATCATACCTAGCGGAAGGGTTGCGCCCAGAGTCAACTGTCCGTTGGACAAAGTCCAAAGAGGAGGGGGGTCGTAGTTGGGGTGGAAAAGGGGGGTCGTATTTCGCGAGGTAGCGTTAATGTTACAGTAAGGGAAGTGATAATGCAGTTGGTTTGCGTGCTAAAATTTTGCCGTTTCAGTGCGCGTATACAGGGGGGGCCCAAAAAAAAAGACGTTTGCCTCCACATCCAGATGGATTTAAGCACATTTTACTCAACTCAGACCGAACCGTTCCAACTTATTATTAAGAGTGCATTCCATTCTATAAGAAACTTCATAGTGGCCACGTACGTGGACGGCATCAGAAGAATTAGCCTTGGAACATGGTGCACTGGTCGATCTCTTGGGGTCTTTCGAAGGATGTGTACCATAACGACCCTTACTGGAAAGCTAGTTCCGAGGGGATTTCACAGTGGTAGCTAATGCCTCTAGAAAAACTATCCAACATTAAATCGATTCACGAAATGGCGTAAGAGCTTCAGGCTGAAGCTCTTACGGTTGACCTCCTTGAGCCTGACGACGGTGACAGATGACGTCATATCTGAAGACGGTGAGGGCAGTGAAGGAGAGCCTGCGTTACACTAATAGAGAACACTTAGGGAATACTCTGCTGAGGAACTCCCGTCAACGACAGCAATCTCTGCGAAGAAAAAAAGAGCCCGAAGTCCGACATAGGCAAAAATGTCTTTTTTGTTGGCCCCCCCCCTGTATACCCCCTCCCGCTCGATGATAATTTTTTGGAGTAAAATTGCTTTGAAAGGGGAAACATTTCATGAGGGGGGGGGGTCGTAAAAACTTTTTGAAAAGTAGCAACGATTGGACCGACCCTGTTTGGAGGAAAAAAAGTGGGCAGAGTTTGGCCAGTGTTCACTGGTCTCAGAATCGAATGCTATGGAATGAACCCCATGATGGTGATGGCAGGGAAGGTGATGAAGGATTGGCCCTGAGATAGAGGGTCGTATCGAGGCCCTCTAGAAGGGGGGGGCGTGAAATTCTCGAAATCGGTCAACGTGACGGTTGACCCTGGTTGCGCCTTTGCAGGGGTGCGAGTCATTTAACAGAGAAGGGTATGCCTCTAAGCGGTATAGCAGGGTCATTCCCGCGCCGCTTGCGCCGGCACTCTTTTCTATTGGTTGATCCATCGCCGTCTGACTCTAGCAGCTCTAGCAGAGAGAGGGTAAACGTTGATGACGTCAGCACCAATAAGAATCGCCTCGCAATCGCAAGTTGACGGCCAACACGGGGACCCGTTTCTCGGGTTCTAAGGTATTTTCTTGTTTTTTTTTCATTCCTGCATGAATGACCCCACACGTTTCTCTCATGGGCTGTTTTTTTTTACAACTTCACCTTCTACTGACAAGAAATATCACCGTAGGTATGCAAAATTATGCACATTGAATGGGATGAAAGGTATGTGAAGCGAATGTCGTAACACGACATGCGAAAATGGTCGACTGAAGGCCTTGAACACGATGGCTGAGAGGTGGAGCGGTTCTTGATGACGTGTGGGTGGGACCACCTCCCAACGCCCTTCTACCAATCACGCCCCAACACTTCAGCAAATCGCTCCACCGTCCAGTCATTGTGTTTACTGCCTCCGAGTGATCAAGTTGGAGTAGAGCTACAGTTACATTGCATGCAAATAGCTCTCTCATTGTAACGCTCGAGGAAAACGGGACATATTTGAGCTGAGAATTTCCCTTCAGGTGTCTGACAAAGAAGCACGTAATTTCGCCTGCAACGCCGTTGTGGTAGGACGAAATATTGTGATGCACCAAGGAAACGATGAAATTGCAGGGCAGTTGGAAAAGCTCGGTTTCAGCGTTAAGTAAGTTCTGAGGGTTTTTGAGCAAATCGAAACCTGAACTGAAGATAAATATATAATAATATGATAATATAAATTTAGGAAATTTTAAAACTACTCAAAGGTCTAGAATTCTAAAATTCTTCGATAAAGTTAAGTGATCCAGTCTCCCATCGAAAAAGAAAATGATCGAGAAGAACAGTGATACTTGGGGTGAAATATGAGGGTTAATGTGTTCTGATCACGGTACGCAAATGGTGGATACTGCTGTTGCTGGGAAAACTGTATGCGAATCCATGATGGCAAAAATCACACCCCACTTTAGGTTAACACGTTGACGACAAGCTGACGCGCATGCGCGTCAAGAATTTCGCACCGCATCGGGCATTCTGACGCTCTATGCCTACTCACTTTTACGTGCTTGCGCTCCGTCTCTCGGGTTTCTTGTATTCTTCTATAGATAATACATTAGCGTGACTATAAACCGCTTGGCAGCTAGAGTGCAAGTATCTTTTGATTGAGCAAAGATTTCCCGAACGCACAAAACTTTGGTTCCGATTCTTTCTTAATAATACTTTCACTGCCGTCAATATTCTTATGAAAGATTTTAGAGTTTGTCGAAACAAAACTCTGTGAGTTTCAATTTATTTGATTTGATGGGAGTACTTAGATATAAATGCTTTAATTTCATTCGCAGCGAAAGTGATAACTTTTTTACTTCTTCGTGGTTATTATGCGCTCTTCTAAACGAAAACCTTTTGCTACTTATATACTTAACCTTTGTACGATCGTTTTCGCCGAAATAGTCCTATGAAATTCAAGTTATTGTTCATTTTTAACAAAAAATAAGCGGAGGTAAGGTGCGGACGGCGCGCTCGCAAAACCACTCCTGTCCCACGTGGTGCAAAATGCCAAAACACGCGGTGTCGTCAACGTGTTAATATGGCAGTGGCATAAACATCTATTTTTTATTATACTCTTAAAGTCACTGAAGTGCGTTTTCAACCATTTTCACATCATACTTCTGTGTCATTGATGGGTACTGCCTCAGTGTGCGATCACATTAAGGCAGTACCCATCAATTATACAGAAGTATCATGTGGGAATGGTTGTTTCTGTCATCAGTGTTTAAGAAAGGAAGTGGGTTGAAATCAGAAGGTATAAAAGCTAAGGGGAGCGGTGGTGTTTGCGCGGCCCTATTCGTCTTATAATCGCATACAGTTTTCTCTGCAAGTTTGGTAGCCACCGTTTGTATCAGTTAGGTGCTCCGAATGCAACCCTCTCTCGCATGTCCTATCTTTTATCGAAAGCATACTCTTGAGAGTAACATCCTGCAGCCTATCCTGCTGGAAATATGGCAGGTACGGTAACAGATGGCAGTTACCGTATGCGCATCTATTGCAAGCAGCCTGCATTCAGAAATCTCTCTTTACTAGACTGTAGTGAGCTTACGAAATGGAGTAAAGTACCCTGTAGTTGAGCAAGGAGAACAGGAAAGATCAAGTAAATCGAAGTGATCCTTGCTTCTTGCTCCGCGGGTGGCCCCAGATGTTTACAAATGATCGCGATGCAGTCGGATGAATGAGGCTCGGATTTCGCATATGAGACTTTCGGCGCTCTTCACAAAACAAGCACAGCGCTGAACAAAAGAGCATAAGACGATGCTCACTGAACTCACGGATACGGTAATGAGCATGATTCAGATACGTGGATATGAGCGAATTCATCAAGAGCGGTGGTTCGGCAAAATGTTGCACTTTGGCTATCTAAGAATCTCATCAGACCATTTTCTATTGTTATGTTGAAATTTTGACGCGAGTGTACCGCTTTTTTGCATTTTACTTCTTACTGTACATTTTCACTGGACCTAACTGATCACATTCGAACGCTGGTTTTGGTTTGCTTTTCGCTTATCCCAAGTTTTCTAGAATTTCGCATACCTTTCTTGATGGACATTCACCCACTTTTCAACCATATCTTTGAATTCACAAGGAATTTGAATACATATTTGGATATTTTTTGACGGCTGCATGACTCATTTTTTTGTGATTTTCCCTTGCATGTGAATCTTTATGTCACAAGTTTCGAGTGTGATTCCAATAAAACGTGTAACTTGAATGTTGCTGAATGCTGCATAATTTTTAGCGTGCTTTGAAAAAGATTGTGAGGTTACCATAATTTTAGTGTTAGAAATCAGAACGATCTCAAATTAGTCTCAAACGCTTTCCTCTAAGTACATAGCATACCATTGTGTAAGCTTCAAAGCTATGTTTCACTATGGTAGGTAATCCAAATAAATTAAAATTAAATTAACGATTTATAGGGTGGGCAAAAAAGTCACCCCCCCCCCTCCACATTCAAAGCGGAATTAATTGCACTTCGCCAAATCAGACCGGATGAGCCCAACTGGATATTGAAGAGCGCTTTCTATTCTACCAGAAACCTACATAAAAGCCTTTACATCTAACGAATTATAAAAACAAAAAAAAAAAAAAAAACAAAAACACATATAAGAAGATTTTCTCACGGAGAAATGGTGCACTGGACGAGCTCAGCGAGTTCGTCGACGGACCATCGACCACTACGAGGTTATCTGAAACGCTGGGCAAAAGCGATCTTGCGTCATCACTGATAGTTTCTCTAAAAAGCTACTCATCTTCTTACCTATTCGAGCGATTATGCAGCAGCTTCAGGCTGGAGCAGTTAGCTAGTTAGCAGTAGGCCTCCAGCTCGATGCTGATAGCAGATGACGTCATATTCTGGAAACGGTGAGGATGTGGAAGAGCCTTACCTGCTTATGAAGGGACATCTTGGGAATACTTCAACTTTCATTAACAGAACATCCTGCGTGACGAACAGTTTGATGATATGCGCCACAAGCAAAGTGACCTTTTTTGCACCCTCCTCCCTCTGTACTTGCAGGCAGGGCAAGCGCCGGTTGCGCAGAGATTAAGGAGGGGATCGTATTTGGCTAATGGGAGGGGGTTGGGGTCGTACGAAAAGTCATAAAATTCAAAGATGCTATGGTATGACAAAGTGGCAGAGGAGTACGGGTTCCCAACTACCATTGCAACCACAGTGTGTTCCAAAAGGACAGGGTGGTCCAAAATTATGAGGACCAATACATTGTGTCGTTGAAAACGCATGAAAACCCAGAATAGAACTGAGGTCTGCCACCTGGCCCGTTTATACGAGCCTTCAGATGAAGCGGGAGGCGCCTGCGGTGGCGCGCAGCTGAGGCGTCTCAAAATGTTTCTAGGCCTTCTGCTTTGGTTTTCCCAGGAAATCAAAGTTTTGTGGGGCCTTTATTTGCCCTTGTCTCTAAGGTATAAAACAGAAATCTACGCTATTAGCTGGAAGGTTCCATCGTAACAATCCTTTGAAACCAACGAACTCGAAAAGTCGCTTTTCAGAGAATTTTTGCTTGATTCTTAGATATTCGGACCTGTAAGAAGTCCTAAGAAGAGTATTCAAGCGGCTTTCTATCCACCACAGATTTGGAGTCTTTAAAGTGTTTGGCTAGGTTTTTACATCAAATTTTTAATTTTGGAAGTTTTTTCATTTTGGAAGTGGACACGGAGAGGCCTAGTTTCTGCATATGATAATTACTTGGTACTAACTGTAACTTTTGAGTCTCCGAATTTCTCATCTGTGGTGGATAGCTTCCTGAACAGTCGAGCTGCTATGCATAAGAGCTTCCCTGATACGTTAGACTTTCGCTAGATGTAACGTGCCAGAACCCTTAGTAAGTTCAATTTGATGACTGACGTAAGGCGATGTTGTTATTCCACTAGTTTTGAGAACAACATGAAATTTGTTTTTATTACAAAGAAGACACTGCACCCTCTCACGTAGTGCTCAGAAAAGGAGATGAAAATGAAGCGACTCGGAAAAAAGTGGACATGACCGCGCGCACGCGGTCCTCATAATTTTGGCCCACCCTGTATAGGGACACCCCACTTTTCTTCAATATCTCTGCAATGAGCCGATGATTTCTCTCCAAATTTTTATCAACAATGCATTATTACACCAGGGTACAAATATCTTAGTAAAATTGGGAAGGGAAAATCTTGTAGGATTTTTATAATTTTGTTAAATCATGGCGTCCCAAAGGCATAGGGAGATTTCGACGTTCAAACTTCCCGAACGATATACTTAACGAAACCAATAATAACAATATTGATTGAAATACACTAACATTTCTTCTTCTTTCGATAAATTGAATCATCCGCTTCGGCATGCTTTGGACAAGCCTTCAGATTGTTTCCGGCGAGAACTGCTCTCGAGCCGCCCCGACGGTGTTTTCGGCTGTTTTTCGTTCCTTAGCTGTCTGCAGTTGGCGTAAATGTCCCGTGCGAGTATGCCCACAGGATCTCAATCGAATTCAAGCCAGGTAGTTTGTGTTTCTGTCTTGAAACCACTCCATTGTTGAGACACTTGCATGAGTGGTGGCGCTGTCTTATTGGAATTAGAAACTAAAGGATGGAAATCGCTACATGTATGGTACCAAATTGTTCTGGAGGGTCTTCCTGTAGCCAATGGACTTCAAGCGTTGCGTAACAAAAATCAGTTCACTCTAACGAAGAGCTGTGAAGGCAGCTCTAACCATGCATTACCGCCACCAAATCCGCGTCGGGAAAAGTAGTGTGGCTCCTTCCTCGAATCGCGCTAATAACTTGCCAGGCCATCAGGTCCATCCAACTTAGACTTATTTTCAACGGAGAAATTCATCTTAGAGCACTACAGTGTATTATATTACATGTGGAATCAGCCAGTACAAATTACCTCGTTCCGTTGATGAGTCCAGCTTAGGTGTGCCTTTGGGGAAGAGCGCAGAGTGCTTCCTTATGCGCACTCGTCAGACATGACATAATCGAAAATTGCCTTTGAACGATGTGGGGACAAGATCTGAGCACACGATGACTAGTACTACTTCTCGACACATCGGGTGCTACTTCCTTGCTTAGCAGCCGCACACCCTTTACGGATTTGGATGCAGCATAAAGAATTTGGCGCTTCCGCCTCCAAAACTTCCCTAGGTCTCTCGCTCCTTTTTTGTGTAGGGGTCGATATTGTTGCAGAATTCGCTCAACAAGTTGACTGATCGTCCTAATTTCCTCCAAAGGCTGCGTTGGTTGAGTTCCATCCTTGTAGCACGAATTTGGCCTTTCTCGAAGTCGTGTAGGTGCATTCCTCGTGACATGGCACTGCAGAACAAGTGTGGAAAACAGAGCAGTGACAAATTGGTTTCACAACTTACCTATGTCAGGAACACTGCAGAAGAACCGAGTGTCCCTATACTTTTGGGACGCCATGATTTTAGAAAAAAAAACCGTAGAAAATCTGCAAAATTTATTCTTTCCAATTTCACTTATCTATTGTTACCCTGGTGTGATGGTGCACTGTTGATAGAAATGTGGTGGATCATCATTTGTTTATGACCGAGGCACTGAAGAAAAATAGGGTGTTCCTATATTTTCGGAACACGCTTTATTGTATTACTCGGAAAGGACTCAATTTAACACCCGAGAGCAGAAGATCTTTTTGAGTCAGTTCATATTGCAGTGAGCAAACAATTGTTGGAGAAAATGCTCCCAGACCAATAGAAATTAGTGGAAAATGCAACAATGTCGACGGATTGACTTCTAGAGTCCTAATGGAAAGTTCTGGCAGAAGAAGGGCTCTTCTTCGTTAGTCTGGTAGCTGGAAAAAGTTTAAGCACTTTTTCGAGCCTTTCAGGAAAGCCCAGTATACTATAAAGCACTGATCGTGTAGATTTCAGTGTTCTTTACTACACCAATTTTGAAGAAATTTATGGGCGTTCAAAGGCCGAAAACTCACGTTTCAGGAGAGTGGTCACATAAAGGAACAACAAAACGCATTGGTGGATTTTTTTGGAAGAGTCGTATTTCAAACAAGGTTCACTTTGCGTTCAAAACCCTATTTTTCTATTTTCCAACTGGTCATAAAAATCTGCTAAGGATAAGTATGGAGTATTATGAACGATTAAATGATAAAAACTCGCGTTCTGAAAAATCGGACCACAAACCCCTGAAAACGGAATAACGAGAGACTTTTTCGTTAGGTTTTTTGAAAGCGCTAATCTTCTGCTTCCTAATTAACGTTAGAGAAATATTTAGTGAGGAAGATGTTATGAACTTTCTAATGCTGAAAACTCGTGAGCGCACAAAAAACGGAACGGGACGATTTTTTGAAGAATTGAGTATTTGCAACAGTTCAAATACTTTTGGTAAGGAAACAATTTGAACTTCCGAAACTTTCAAAATTTCCATCAGTTTTATGAAAACGCAATTGAAGGAAGACAGCCTCTCGAATGAAGGGTTCATTCTTACATCAATGAACTTTGATGGTTTATTTTCTCACTTCATGAAAAAGGAGATTTAAAGATTTGGAGAAAATTTGGCAGTGTTCTGAAAGTAGTTTTTTGCGATTACAGTACCGTAACTACCGGTACCTAAGTTCATGCGAAATTTGAGAGACCTCTCATGCCGCCTAGATCCCCGTCTTTGAAGAAAGGGAAAAGACAGGGGTTCCATTTAATATGAGGCCATTTCAACATAAAAAATTGCTGAAGATCCTATTCCCCTTCATAATACTTAATGGTGTTATCTATAATATTATAATTGCAGAGGGGTGCAGCGCATGCGGTGCCTTTGGGAAGCTGCCGACTGGCCACAATCCATTGAAGTGTGTGGGCGCAGTGCTGATTAAACTTCAGTGCCATGCTGTCACTAGCGGTAGCCACATTT